GATTGGATTTATGCGGCACCCTTTCACTGGTTTGTCATTCTTGCCTCACTTCCTCTTCCTTCCCTGCGTGGGTCTCTTTCCCATTGGTTCCAAGGGCCAAAGGAACCCTAAGTGCTGCCAGCACATGAGCTGGGTCAAGCTAAAAGTTACAGTCGTGTAATTTGGAATTTTTCTACTATGGCTTTTAAATTAACTGGTGTGTGTGTGGTGGGGTATCATTGTAAAAATGAAGTTACCACTTCGGGGTATCTTAATTCATTTTGGGGGTGGCGATCATTCTTTTACTTGATTGGATTGCAGTATATTTAAGACTTCATTATTTATTTCACTTTAAGCTATTTATTCTTTTCCAGAAAATTAACCACAAACACTATGGGTTTTTTGGGGGTGAAGACTGTATACTAAAAGTTCTGATTTTAGGGGATTATAAGATGTATTTCGTTTTAATGTAATTTTCCTACTTTTTTTCATATGTGTTCAGTGGTTGCAGAAATGGTGCTTTATTGGCTAACCTAACGTTTTTCAGTTTTGTTAAGAGTATAGCAGATATCTCTTTGTCCAACTACAAGCGCGGGTTGAAAATTTGTCTTAAATTTTTGCATTAGTGAATCTAAAAGGCTTATTTCTTTTCAAAGTAGCAATGTGTAAGTGGGCTGTTGGAATCATCCTTGAATCATGAATGGGCACTAATGGAAGATAAGACATGCTTAACATTTGCTGCTGGTCATCTTAGAAAACTGTTCTGTTGATAGCTAGCTTTAAGAAATACTTCTTGGTATATATGACACGTTCAAATGTAAGTCTGGCTTGATTGCCAAAAGCTCCTAGAAGTTATTCTTATTTAAGCTTTGTGTTCCTGCGATTGTTGAAAATGGCTCTGGTATAATGCGTGGTGTGAGGAACAGAAGATTATTCTGTTTATTTTTAATAAAGTACTTAAATTTAGCTTTTTAACTATTCACAATATTATAATTATAAAAAGTATCCTTCTTTTTTCTCTGGGGCTGTAAAAATATCAGAAACTCGAGTCCCACAGCTATGCCAATGAACTTGAATTTCCACTGATAAAGGCTGTCAGGCACAGGGTCATCTCCTGACAGCCATTGGACCTTCCATAAAAATACAATGCCGTGAACTCACCAACACAAAAGTGGGCACTGACATGATCAGAATGCTGGAACTGACTCAACGAACTTCAGCACATCTCCTGGGTTTTTTTATTTCAGTACTGACACTGAGAGGACTTTGTTTTCCTGTAGTCATCAAAACTAAGAAACAAATCCCAGTACTTTTATCCAATCATTTCAATTTTGGAAATAATTATTTAGTAAGTAATAAATTTAGTTACACAGAAGGTACTTTTTCAGTGTAACTTCATACTTACCCAGTAGGAAGTGCCCACATTACCTAGTAAAATACCAAAATTTCTAAAACTATTATTTGGGGAAAACCAGTTAGTCTTAAAAAAGTCTATATTTATTTTCTCTACCTTTTTTTTTTTTTTTTTTATGGTTTTCCTTTAAAATCACTCTCCATTCTCAGAATTAAATTCATATTTAGTAAGGTTAAAAATCTAAAAAACTATTTAAAAATGGCCATAAAACAATTAAGTTTAGAACCATCAATGTCATTTAAATCTTAGGAGAAATTTTTTTTAATAAGTGTTTTATTTCTAAACTAAAGAACTGTGGCAGAGATGTAGTAATTTCAAGACCTCAAACCCTCCCCAGATATTTAGGACTTACTCTTGTGAGGACAAATAGAAAAATCATACTGCTTAATAAAAGGAATTGTCATTTTTAAGAGTAATAGAAAAATATGAGGATGGATGGATACTCATTATAATGACTTCAGTAATGCCTAACATTTATTGCTGTTTTAGGTACCAGGTACTGTGCAAGACGCTTCACATACATATTCTTATTTATTCTTTATAATAGCCCTATGAAATAAATGTTCTTCTTATTCCATTGTATAGTTGAGGAGACTGAGATTTAGAGGGTTTCACTAACATATTCAGGGGTGAAGCCTGAAGTAGGAACAGCTAATCTGACTTGGCGAAGGCCCTAGGAAGCCTAGTAAAGCATGAAAACATGAACAACAACAATACCACAACAGCAACAACAACCAGCAATCTATGCCCGTGAGCAACAGGTAAACAGGACCAAATATGGCCAGCCCATCCCTGTAGTTACTCATATATCTGTGGAGAAGGCAGATCATGAAAGATACCTACCATGCCTTATAGTAGATGAGCAATATATGTGTCGTTTTAATATTGAACATCAGGTTGGTGACACTGGCTTTTGTTAGCCCATCACTATTTGATGATCCTTTAGGAGGTATCATTCAAGGATAGTTTGAAGAGCTGGAAGGTGAGGGAATCTCTCTTTTACCTGTCATTCCACACTTTCATCATGCCCTTCACATTCAACAGCTGAAGTGCCACATTTAGTCATCTCTTTATTATACCACATCCACTTATAATTATTGATAATTATGACAGAATTGTTTACCAAACAGTGTGAGTTCTTAAGACTGAATCAGTCACAGTATAGATGAAACATATGTATTCTTTATGGAAACTCAGAATATTATTGTAGAATATTATTTTTCTACAATATTATTTGTAGAATTAGGCACCTGCAGACTCTAAGTACAGGGAGTTTTGCATATCGTAGTAGCTCATTCTTCAGTTGTTAATAATTAGCCTTCATTTTGGCTTAAATAGAAGCACGACATATATTTGCCGTTACTAAAGTCTGAAAATAGCAAATATGCTTAGAGGCTTAGCACATGGGACATTTTTATGTATTAATACTTCCTCTGAGTTGTGCCAGTAGGACTGCCTCAGAAAATAATGAGACCTTGGCAAATGCCAAAAGAAAACAAACTCCTAACAGCTTTTAGACTCTGAAAATAGAATTTGAATAAAGACAAGTACAAATATGAAATATGAACATACATAAGCTTATGAATAAATTAGATAGTTGGTATTAGATATAATTGGTTTTTTTTTACTAACCCCTTAACATATTGGTTTCTTTTCTACTCTAACAACTTGTTTTCCTTTTCTAGGATTGGCGTGGGTGGGTTTGAAACATCCACAGACTTCAAGCCTTAAATATCTAGACCAGTTAAAACATTTTGGCAGTTAATATTGCATAGTTACATTATAGCACATTTATTAGGAGCTATGGCCTAATCGATTTTTTTCTTTTTTTGTCTGTGTGACCTACTTATTTTCTCAACCACAAGATGTTGAAAATCCCTTCAACATTGAACTCTTCATGGGTTATTTTTGAACACTAGTCATTGATTTCATTTATCTGGACCATAAATTTTAATTTTCTGGCCTGGAGATTGGTTTTGACTGGGCACATTTCCCAAGAAATAACAAGTATTTGCTTAAACATGAAGCATCTGTGATTTTTCTTTTGCTATTCACTTATAGGAGAACCCTCTGTTATTAATAGCCTGGGGCAAAGGTTCTATGAAAGAGACAGAATGGGTGGCTTTTCCTTTTTTACTTCCTGAGAAATGACAGATGGTATAACATAAACACTCAGTCTCTCACAAGATGTAATTTGAAAAGCTTTCCATTAAAAGTAGAAACTAGACACAGTGCACTTAAGGATAATCGACCTTGGATATAATCACCCTAACAAGCAATGAAACAAGCTCATGCCTCATCTCTGTCAATTACATAGGTGTCAGATACCTTTTCAAGTTAAATGTAAAGTCTCTGTATTGTAAATATTTAAAATTTTTCTTTATACATATTATGATGTTCTCGACATCTTAAAAAGCTTTTCTGGTTACCGAGAGTCTGCCTCTCCTGTGGCTTGTTAATTCTGAAAGAAAAGAAAGCGCCCAGGCTGGAGTATGCCTTTTCACATACCGATGAACCTGTCCAGTGCCACACCTCATCCATCCGACCTATACACCCCAGCGGAATATCCCAGGAGGGGATATTCCTCTGCCTTAGTCATGCCAGGGCCAGGAGCCAGCCAACCCACGCAAATTATTCAAACTAGCCAATCCTAAACTGTTCACCCTGCCTTGCCTTGCATTTCCCAAGAAAATCCCTCAAAAGGCAGTGGCCTAAACCTTCCCTTTCTTCTGTCTTCTGCCTCCTGACCACCCTGGTGTCTTCTTTCCTGCATGACCCTGAGTGGCCTGCTGTGCCTCCTGTCTCTAGGACGTGTAAGTTTAATACACCTTTTTTTTTTTTTTTCCCCTGAGGCTCTCCTCTGTCTCCTCTTGTGGCCATAAAAGAATATAAAACAGTCTCTGTGTAAAGTCTTTGCTTTCTATAGAATCATAATGATTCTCACCAGTCTTGAGCTTGGCTCTCATTTCCAACTCTTTCTATAAATGGACAGTTTCCTCCCCACCAACTTATTCTCAGAAAGATACATGCCAGACTGATGAGAGTATCTATCTGTGGTGAGGGAAGAAAGGGCTGGAACTGATCTTCAGAGAGGGTTTTAGCTTTACCTGTTGACAATCTAATTTTTTATAAGACAGATGAAACAAATATTCATAACTATGGTAAAATCTGTATTTAATTCAAAAGCCTAGATATTGCCTCTGCTCTAGGTTATCTATTCCTGGGCCCTAGTATTACTGTGACTTCTATTCTTCTCAAGTGTTTCCCAATATTTCCTACGTTACTACACACAGGCATATCCTTAAAATCCTACCCCTTCTTTGGCTCCCATTGTGAGGTAATATTTTAGTGTATTTCCTTTGGGTCAAGAGTATGTATGAACACATATATGTATATTTACTTATATACAAATGGAATCTTGCTCTGGTAAAGAAATATGTTGAATTTACTTGTCTTTGACTTCTAAGACTACCCCCGCCTATAAAATACTAATTCCATTTCTATGTTTAGCACCTCAGAGCCAACAAAACACACTTATTTTCCATCTCAATCCCCAAAATAGTTCACTAAGGTAAGTGGAGTCTACCTCTCAAACCCCATGCCAGGCTTCCTTGCTGCTTTCACTTCCTTTTCTTATAATATGGCAAACTACTTTTTCCTGATAAGCCGCTACCTATGGTAGAATTATCTTGGTCACTTTCAATCTCTTATTTCCCTGTTTCCTCATTATTTACCACCTGGGCTGAAATGGATATTTGCAAGAGAAAATAATAATAGAAAATAAGGCTCCATTATAAGATGGCATTATTTGTATGAAGGGCCTGTTTATGAAAAGGACAATATATTAAAATAGTATTTTTACAATATTTAAATATTTTTAAAAAGTAAATGGTTAGATTTAAGAGTAGATTGAACATGTCATCTGCTAAGAAGCTAAGGAATGACATCAGCATGTGTATAGATTTCCGACATTAGAGAGCTAGAAAAGAGCATTTACAATAGCTAATTTGTCTGTTTTCTTTCTATCCCTTTCCTCCTTCAATCCATGTCATAACATATCATAATGTTACCATCAAGATATTTACAAAATACAGACCTGATTTAAAAATATTGCCTTGATTAAAAAGCTTTGCTGGACCACCATTACCTGCCAAGTCAAATCTGAATCCCTTAGCCTGATGTATAGAGTCTTTAAACAATGGTCCATCCAACCTTTCCAACTCCATTTGTGCCCTCTGTACCAAAAACTCTGTGTTCTAGTCATACAAAGTTGACAAAGTGACAAACAGCACCTAAACTCACCAGATGCTGCCAATCCTCCATGACTTTGCTCTCCCTGTACCCGTTGACAAAGAATGCCCTGTGGCCACTTCCCCACTTGCTGAACTCTTACTCATCCTTCATTGTCCAGCTCAAATGCTCCTTCTAAGACCTCTCCAGCCAGAATTCACACTAACTCATTAAAAGCAATATTATAAAACGCTTATATGGACAAGGAGACATAGAGAAGAGTATAAAAGAATGCGCATGAGGCTGTTAATATTGAGTATAGTTATTTGGATTTTTATTTCTTCCACTGACCAAGTAGTACTTTTTCTTTTCCCTGAGACCAGGTTTCCTTTTATTGCCCAGGCTGGGATGCAGTAGTAAAATCATAGCTCACTGCAGCCTCTAACTCCTGGGCTCAAGCAATCCTCCTGCCTCAGCCTCCTGAGTAAGTAAAACAACAGGTACATGCCAACATGCCCAGCTAATTTTATGTTGTTGTTTTTTTTTCGCTATGTTGGCCAGGCTGGTCTTGAACTCTGACCCTCAAGAAATCCTCTCATTTCAGCCTCCCAAAGTGCTGAGATTATAGGCGTGAGCCACTGTCCCCGGCCAAATAATACTTCTGAGGTTTAAAAAATTAAAATGAGCTGGACATGGTGGCTCATGCCTGTAATCCCAGCACTTTGGGAGGCCGAGGCTGGAGGATCACTTTTGGCCTGGAGTTCGAGACCAGCCTGGCCAACATAGTGAAACCCTGTCTGTACTAAAAATATAAATAAAAAATTAGCTGGGTGTGGTGGAATTCCAGCTACTCGGGAGGCTGAGGCATGAGAATCAATTGAACCCGGGAGGTGAAGGTTACTATAGGCCAAGATCTGTCTCAAAAAAAAAAAATTAAAATGAAGATTTTAAAATAAAAGTAATAATTGACAAATATTTCTATGAATAAAACCATATTGATTTATCTATATTAATTTTGTACAGGGAAAGTCTATGATTTTTAGGTCCTTGGATACCTGGATTCTTATTCCTGAGCCACTAACAACTAGATGTGGAATTTTGGGGAAGTCAAAGTCTCTGAACCTTAGTAAGATAAGAATGTTAATAAATGAACTTTAAAGTTTCTTCCAGCACTAAAATTCTACGGATTTATTCGCATATATGCTTCAATGAATATATTATCGCACTTCGCCAATCTGAGTTTTATGATTTCAAAAGTTGTTAAAACCGGTTAGTTGCATAGTTCTTCTTTGTCTATTTCTGGGGCAGGAGTAACCTCAAATCTAAGTGCTATAGAAAACAAGACAGATAATTAAAAATATCACCCTTCTTCTATGTGTCCATGGTGGCTCTCAATACACACAACACAGTATTTCTTAAGATGCTATGATTACCCGGTTTGCATTTCTGGATTTTTCCTTTTTTTTTTGAGACAGAGTTGCTCTCTTGTCACCGAGACTAGAGTGCAATGGCGCAATCTTGCTTCACTGTAACCTCTACCTCGCGGATGCAAGCGATTCTCCTGCCTCAGCCTCCCGAGTAGCTAGGATTACAGGCACCTGCCACCATGCCTGGTTAATTTCTGTAATTTTAGTAGAGATGGGGTTTCACCATATTGGCCAGGCTGGTCCCAAACTCCTGACCTCAGGTGATCCACCCGCCTTGGCTTCCGAAAGTGCTGGGATGACAGGCGTGAGCCACTTCACCTGGTCACATGTCTGTTTTCCTGCAGATTGTGAGCCCTGGGTGGTTTAAGGGCAGGAAATGCATCTCCCTGGTGCTACACACTGGCTTGACTACACAGTAGGTGATTAACAGTTCACTGAAGAGACGAATTGAAATGAAGGACATTCGTGTCAAAATATTCTCTTTGTTTTTGTTTTTAGAGACAGAGTCTCACTCTGTCACGCAGGCTGGAGTGCAGTGGTGTGATCTTGGCTCACTGCAACCTCTGCCTCCCGGGTTCTAGCAATTCTCCTGCCTCAGCTTCCTGAGGAGTTGGGGATTACAGGTGTGCGCCACCACATACGGCTCCTTTTTGTATTTTTCTTTTTTTTTTCAGTAGAGACAGGGTTTCACCATGTTAGCCAAGCTAGCCTTGAACTCCTGACCTCAAGTGATCCATCCACCTTGGCCTCCCAAAGTGCTGGGATTACAGGCGTGAGTCACCATGCCTGGCCTGTGTAAAAATAATCTGATCTAAGAGAAAAGGATGACTAATCTTGTGATTGATAACTTGAAATCTTATCTTTTTTCTTTATAATTTAGATTAGAATTTTAATTAATCTGTGACATATTCATTAATCACAACAATTTTAGGAATTCTTTATAATTTTTACAAATTTTATTGGCTTTCCGTTTGTTGCCAAATTAATTCGACCATCAAGAAGCAAATAGCAGGTTTCATGCTAGTATGGGTCAAAAGCTTTGTTCTTTCTGATTGTGATGCCTGCAGCCCAATATGGGAGATGAGGTGGGAAGATGTGAAGAGCTCAATGTAGTTGTGGTCCATCTGCAGGGACTGGAGAACTCCTGTAGGAAAATCTTACCTGAAGTCCTTGTCTCAGTGAGGCTAGGCCAGGCCATGAAGAGAACTAGGGACCACCCCATTCTCACTGTTGTCCTATATGCCATCTGAATTAAACACACACTCTCCATTCAAGGAAAAGCAAAAAAAAGTGACAAAGGGCTCATGCATTTAATTCCAACTACAAGCTATGGGGTTTCCTTGCCCTCTTCCTTGCTGATTGTCTTTCTGCTGCCCAGTGGGTCTAACAGTAGCCACTGCTCAAAGGCATTCTAATGGCAGTGCCCTAAAACCAACATCCTTGAACCTCTCATAGAAAACAAGAAGTGATCTGAGAATTATTTATATATGGCTTCCTCATAGAGACTAACAACACATTTTAAGCATTTATAAATAGAGATATTAGGAATTTTAAAAAATTAGATTGCTAAACAAAAATAGATTTCATAACAATAAAGGTAAAATATAATTATTAAAGAGCATACCGCAGTACCCTGGGGTTCCACATACTGTCTTCATGAGCACTTGATGTTCCACAATTTTAGAGAGTCCAAAATCAGCTAACAACACAAGAAAAAAACTTAATGAAGCACGTCTTCTCAGCTTTTATAAGATGACAAAATATTTGTTATTCAAAAATAAAACTAACTTATTTATCTGTTTTCTTTTGTATTTGATGATGGGGTCAAGGTGGGTGGGAACAAGTCACCCAAGAGGAAGCTAAAAAAACAATCCATGTGTTTCTTTAAATTGGAGAAAAACGTGACTTCCAAATACATTTACAAATAAATCTATATTTAATCTTTGTTCTTCTGTATAATTCCCAGCTTTCAGCAAATAAGCATTTTTTTTCTTTCTTTCTTGTTTTGTTTGTCTGTTTTTTAGATGGAGTCTTGCTCTGTTGCCCAGGCTGGAGTGCAGTGGCGTGATCTTGGCTCACTGCAACCTCCGCCTCCTGGGTTTAAGCAATTCTTTGCCTCAGCCTCCTGAGTAGCTGGGATTACAGGCACGTGCCACCAGGCCTGGCTAATTTTTTTGTATTTTCAGTAGAGACGGAGTTTCACTGTGTTAGCCAGGATGGTCTCGATCTCCTGACCTCGTGATCCGCCCACCTCGGTCCCAAAGTGCTGGGATTACAGGTGTGAGACCCCGCTCCCAGCCAAGCTATTTTTTCTTAAAGTAATAGTTGCAATAGTTATATTTTATCTAATGTTGTTAATTCTGAAATTTATGTAACAGTAACTCTAAGGGACAATACAGAATTAATGATATAATCCAGAATCTTTTATTTATTGACAGAGAGGAGGAAAAAATAGACTTTGATCAGTGAAACAAGAATTAACAGAAATATCAAAAGGTTTGTTCAGCTTGAAAATACATGTCAGTCTCCAATGTATTTCACTTATAAGAATTTACTCTCATAAGAAGACTATACGATTTTTTTGGTAAGAATCCTTTTTATTTATTTCTCAGAATATTACCTAGGTAAAAGATTATCAAAAGTTGCTACCATTATGATCTATTTGCTGAGCTATCTCTCTCTCACTCAAGAACCATCAGGAAACCATTCAAGGGCATTCTTCAAGACAGGCAGGTGCAGAATGAATTCCATTTTAGACTTCAAAGATAAACCCACATTTCCTGGCAGGTGCCTGATCCTTATCAGTGAAAGCAGCAGGAAGCCCTTCAGAAAGAAAACCTCTCCTGCCTAAATTAGTATCTAACCATCCATTTAAAGAAATTGCTTTAAGGATTAAATCTTTGAAAGTGATGTGAAAGGAAATGGAAACTGCCTGCTGTCCCCTGCCTTACAGGAGTGATTATGAGAACAAGCTGGCTGCCCAGCAGGACTTTCAGGATTTTTTCCTTAGGTTCTTGCATTCATAAAGCACATTATGTTATCTGAGCTCTTCCCTGATATAAACAACTTAATTGTTAAAGGTGTTAACATCTGTAAATGCAGTGAACTTGGCAGATCAGCACGATAAGGACAGCACCAGAAGAGCAATGCCCCTCAGAGGATTTAATGAAGATTCCACTAGCGAGAATTCACTGAAAATAAAGTTTATAATATTTTTTGAAATGAAGATTTACTTTGGAAGAGACATGGAAAGTAATATTTATTTTTTTCTAAAGTGCTAATTAAAGACTTCTTTGGGTAGATCAGAATTTCCCAAAGTTCATCTTTATAGTTTTTCAAAATGCTTATTGGTTAAAAAAAAAAGTCTCATAGGATATGATATAATATGTCATTTTATATGTTAACAGTTTTAAGGTTCTGGAAAGTCCTATAGAAATAAAAATCTTGTTTAACTTTTTTAAAGTTGGCATTTCTTAACTCATTTGATCAGCCATAGCATTTCTGTGAATCGCTCCCACCCTTATCCACCCTGCTGAGAACCCAGTGTTCTGTGGAGTGCATTTTGAGAAAGGCAGATCTTAATTTATCTCTGTTCATATAAATAAGTGACTCAAAGCCTAGACTTACTAATATGTGCTAAACATTTTATGTCAAAGTTCTTTATTACCTAAAATTAAGCTCCAAGCAATGTGTGGAATAAAAGTTAATATCTCCAAAAGAAGTGTTACTTTTTCCATCATTTTGTTCACTATAAACTTATTTACAAAATGCAAGGTCATCTCCTATGGTCCTTGCCATTTCTAAGTTGTGATTCCTTCATGTGCCCAGCAACAGAATACTAACTTCTAGGCAGTATTTTCCAAATAAACATTCGAGGAAAGAGCACAAACTTCCCAAACAACATATTATTCCTTTACAAATGTCAAATATTCAGGAAAACTGAATGGATGTAAAACTGGATGGAGCAA